ATGAAACATCCGAACCCAATGTCACCATTGCGTTCAACTCGTTCTCCAACATCAACTTCTCAAACCCATCTTGAGAAAGTTTCTTCATCATCTCGACTGCCTTCTTCTCTTCCTCTCCGATCCCATTTGTTAAGTCTGCAGCAAGAAAAATTTCTTGACCGAACTCTTCCATCCTTTCCTACAATGACCACCATAGCTCATTTAAAACTTGCATTGATGCAAAAAGAGTATGGCATGTTTGGTGATGTAGATCAGGCAATACCGGATAGTATTCAAGAAGAAAAGCAAATTGCCCGCTACGTCTAATACCATGTACCAAACATGTACTAAACAGTTTAACATCAAATAACATTCATTTGGAGTGACTCACCAAATCAGGATTATTCGTATTGAAGGCTATAATGTCAGCTAGTGACCTCACTGGAGAAGTAGTTAGTTCTTTTAGATAATCATTTATGCCCAGCTTGAACTCGGCCAGCAACGCCAACGACTCGCCACATAGCACAGGGTTCATGATGACATCAATATTCGCTATATCTAGATAATCAACTATTCTCGCACCAAGTTGCCTAGAATATCCACAACACATTCAATGTCATTGAGCAGATATTCTATCGGAACACAGATAAATTTATATATGTTACCTCAATGTGTGGAGGTGACCCTCGAATACTTGACTTGCTAAAGATGTATTTGAAAGGTCTACGAACGGTTTTCTTACCACGCCCAATGTCTTTCCCCTGAGCCCATCTTCATTGAGGAACTGTTTATAGCCTCCAGCAGGAATGAACTTGGTTGCTGCTTTTGTTGCTTCAGAGTCTCTTGGATCAAAACCCACAATCGAATCAAGCACGTAAGCAGCATCAGAAACTGTTCTACATATGGGCCTGAATTTTATAATTAACAAGACGAGAAAACAAATTAAATCTGCAACAGATGTGAAAATACTTTCTAATCCTCTCCAGCTTAGGGAAATAAATGCATCAAATTTATTTACCCAATCGTGTCCTGCCGGAGAGAAAGAGGAATAACACCAGCTCGACTAGTTAGTCCAACGGTGGGCTTTATAGCTACGACAGAATTATGATCCCCCGGGCATATGAGGGAGCCATCAGTCTCAGTACCTAATGACACCGTAACCATATTTGCTGCCACAGATATCGCAGATCCACTACTCGAACCACAAGGGTCTCGCCCTGGAGCATAAGGATTCTGCAGTTTTTTCTTTCATGAGTGTAAATTTTCAATTCATACTAAAAACTATATTTTAATTTAAAAAAAAAAAAAGAAAAAAGGAAAGAACTCATTAAGAACTGTAGCCAACTAGCTGAGTCAATAAACAAGTTTAATTGAATGCAGATTTATATGAACTCGCCTAAAAACCCTTAACCTAATTCATATAATTTATGCTCGATATACTAACCACAGCCTGACCACTTCTGGCGGACCATCCAGCAGGGATAGTCAATGACCGGAAGTG